AACCTGACATGAACCCTGAAAAACAAATTCTAAATAAAAAAAATTCAAAGAGAAAAACGAATGAAGTATGTTAAATTTAAGTATATAAAATTAAAAGTAGAAAAAGATGTAGATAAACAAGTAAACAACTTTGGATGCTGAAGGACTGGATGACTAATCGGTTAGTTGATCATTATGACTCACTCCAGTTATGTTTATAAATATGAAATCATCCATCTGAATGAGATTTGATAGCTACAGCTGATGCTATTGACTTCTTAAGACTTGGAATATAGTGTACAGATGTCAAGAATATAGTCAAGATGTTTCTATTATTTTTTGGTATTTAATCTTCATTTACTGTTCACCGTTCCTTTTGTGGAAAAGCGCAGCATGAATGTCTTGCTTAATATCTCTTTTTTTTGTGTGTTCCATGATCCACTTTTTTGTATTATAAAAAAATCGGAAAATGAGCCTATTTTCAAAAATAGTGGAGTGTTCCTTTAAGAAGCACACAAGTGAGTGAGGATCCTGCTTTTTTTCATTTGTGTTCCATGGAAGAAATGTCATATAGGTTTGAAATAACTTAAGGATTTGTAAATTATGACTTTTTTTTAACTAAACATTAATTTTCAAGACTGATCTGAATTTTCCATTTGACATTGCGTATGTATGTGTCATGGAAAATGGAGTCTTGTTTTCTCATTTAACAGAGCTACGTTTTTGAAATAATTTATTTAGTTGTTTTAGGAAGTAGTCATGAGGTAACACATATATTTTGATTTTCATGATCCCAAAAATGAATGCCAGACCGATGATGCCAGACAACATGGAATAAATTAGTGTAAGTTAATAACTTTAAGCATGAAACTCTGCTTCCCTCTACTGGATAACCAGGTGAACTGTTTGCAATGAGACTGCATACGCATATAGAAATGAATTCCCTCAGCATTTAAATCGTTGTAAAGTGGTTAAAAACAACTGTAACCATAAACAGTTGGAACTGGTCCATCCTGACCTGCGCTACCAACAGGCAGCACCTTAAAACGACGACTGTGTACTATTTCTGGACAGCAATGTACCGAATAACGCCCAAATATTAGCCACTAAAGTGGAATTCATTTTTAAAACAGTTATTAGTAAAAAACAGGAGAGTAACTGAACCCAACCTGAGCAAATAGACGCCGCACGCACTCACCGTTGAACTCCAAATGACCAAAGTCGACAAATGGGCGGGAGCGCCATCTTGCGATAGGCGGTAGAATATGAACGATGATGTTGGCCAAGCTTGTGTCATTCCAGGGTTTTGTTTGTTTGACGTAACTTTGTTAAATTAACCCTGCTTAAATTAATGCTGCTGCTGTTGTCTGCTAATGTGTTAGTCTACTACTAAGAATGGTTTCCTTATGAGATGTTTTAGCTCTTGTATAATATTCTGATTATCTGATAAATGTAGATCTTATCGTTATTCTTAGGCTATTACTAGTTCCTGTAATTACCCAATGATATTGGAGATCTACTGTTCTGTTCCTTAGAAATGCTTATGATTGCAGTTGGCTAGGGTCACTGAATCTGACAAGTAAAATTTCATATAGGCTAGCTATCAAAATGTTACCACTCTTTCATAACTGACTATAAATGTTTAATAAAGCGACTTGTTTAATAAAGTGTGATATTGAGCTCCTCTTCTTTCTATTTTATAAAGCATATTGATCAGCTGACATATTGATACAGTATGGTCTAACAGGTCAAAATTATATACCACAATGTTACCCATGCATTTTTACTCTAAGTATATAAGTCTATGTTCTTCAAACTCATTCAAGTGATGTAAAGATTTCTATTTTTTCCTATAGGTTTATTCTTGTTGTCTTTTGAATAACAGTCACCAATTATTAGACAGTACAGAAATCATTACCAGAAAAAAAAAACTCACAAAGCTCATTTTTGTGATGCTTTTTAGGTTATCATTCAGAAGGTTTGTTATTGCACCTCTAACACTGTTGAAATTTCTCCACTGTAAGTAGTCAACTTAGCTGTATAGGTAATTGCAATATAAATTAAATTAAATTAAACTGACTTAAAAACATGAGCTTAAGAATTGCTTAATTTATTTTGATTAGTTAATGTAAAAACATGTTTGAATGACTTATTGATCATACCATTTTTATTTTACATTTGTGTTTGCATATTACTAAGAATTTGTAACCATTAAAACTCGTGAGATTTTTTCTGCCTTCTAGAGTGTTCCTAGAATAGTAGAGTTTTCATTTTAATTTCACAAGTCAAGTTAGAGATACGTTATGATTGGGTTCAAATGGGGTTATATAATCCGAAAAAAGTAGGATAAAAAGTGTATGAATAAATAGCCTACATAAGACTTGTATGTAACTGTAAATAACTTAGTGTTGTCATATCTTCTCACAGATCAACCTTTTACAAAACAAATACAGGAATACATACTGTAGTATAATATAATTATATATACATGTATGTTAAATGTTCACTGTCCCACGTGACTTTTATGGTTTATTCATTTATTTTATTTATTTTCATTTTTTTTAAAGTTTACAACACTATTTCACAATCAAATACTAATTTAATCTCGATAAAATACATACAATTTGAAAGGTCTTCGTTTTTCAGCATTAGCCTACTGCACTTTTTTGATTTAAAAAAATGTCAGAAATGGACGGGGTGAACAGTAACAAGATAAATGTATGTTAAGGAATTCTGCATTTTTCACATTGAATCTGTTCAAGAAAATCAGGGAGGGAAACCTGTAAGCCACAAAACAAGCATAGAAATGTTTTAATTTCAATTCTGCTTTTTCTCTTGATGCTACATAATACCTTCACATATTAATATATTATTTAATATTTTTAATGGAGTGCAGATTCTGATATGAATAACAAAAAGCTCATATAAAAAACATGCTTAATGTGTAGTTCTTGCTTTTTGTAAATGATTAAGCCAATTAAAGCAGCACTATGTAACTTTTTCTGTGTTCAAAATTAGCTAAATGTATATAATGAGCGAGTACATCATGAATTCATCTTCCAAACCGCGTTTTTGTCTTATTCCGAATCACTACGGTACACTTATAATAAGTACTTATATTTGGACTATTGTAGCCTGGTCGGGTCGTCGCCGCTGCGGAGTAACACATACCTGCGTGAATCGCCATAGACATAAACTTAGAGAAGTAGCTCCGGTTGGAATGTTCTTCCGCGGGATGTGTGCAGTTCTGTTTATTAACCGCTAGAGCGCCAAAAGTTACATAGTGCTGCTTTAATGGTAGTAGGTACATATATCAAAGAACTTTTGTTTAACTGAGAAAAATAAGAGGAGCTGACACATCACACAAGTCACTTTATTAAGCATTATAGCATGCATTAAATAAAATGAGTAGCTTTAAATTTAACCTGTCAGACGCTACTGTATCTATGAATATATCAATAGGGGCCTATCTGATCATATGCTTTATTTATGTAAGATAGAAAGAAGAGGAGCTCACACATCACATGAGACACTTTATTAAACATTTTTAGTCAGTTATGAAATAAAGAGTGGTAACATTTTGATAGCTAGCCTATATGAAATTTTACTTGTCAGATTCAGTGACCTAGCATGCATGAAATAAAATGAGTAGCTTTAAATTTAACCTGTCAGACGCTACTGTATCTATGAATATATCAATAGGGGCCTATCTGATCATATGCTTTATTTATGTAAGATAGAAAGAAGAGGAGCTCACACATCACATGAGACACTTTATTAAACATTTATAGTCAGTTATGAAAGAGTGGTAACATTTTGATAGCTAGCCTATATGAAATTTTACTTGTCAGATTCAGTGACCCTAGCCAACTGCAATCATAAGCATTTCTAAGGAACAGTAGATCTCCAACATCATTGGGTAATTACAGGAACTAGTAATAAGAATAACAATAAGATCTACATTTATCAGATAATCAGTCTGACCATATCAGCTTCTTTAAAAAAAAATAAAAAAATCAAAGGCTGAGGCTGCTTTGCTTCTGTGTTAATTAAATTCAGCATCAGAATAGCCCTATTCTTTTCCATTCATAGATGTATAGGCTATATTTATTTTTCTATTTATAATTTTTATAAATTGATCAATTTCCATTCATAATGTCATTTCTTTATATAGACTATCGTAACATTTAATTAGTGTAACGATAGCATTAGATATATTTAAAGACCTTATTTCTATTTAAAAATTATATATTTACAAAAAAATAATGTAGCAACTAGAACTTCTGAAATGTAGTTTAAAAAGCATATTTTAAACAATCAAAAAGTGATGCAAAGAATGCAAAACAGACAACACTAAGTGCCAAATTGACTTTTTAATGACACAAAGACAGACACATTTCAGTCAGGAATTGTGGCTTTCTGTGCAAACAGCAAAAAGTGTGCTTTTAATGCTGATTCAGGCCCCCTTCCATTTGGCAAAAACACCTGCTGTAGTTTCCAAGGAACACTACACCTGCACCACTATTTAGCAGCAAACCATTTCACACACACCGAGCACTTACATTTCACATCCTTCAGCAACTAACTTACTTTAACTTTCACAAAACACATACACAGTCGGTGAGATTCATCTAGTGCACCCAGTGCTCTTCAGTTCTCCGAATTGCATTTGCTCAGAAAGTCACAAGATATCCAATATGGATGAGTTACTTCATTTGACACTACTAGAAAAACAAATGAACATATTCAACTTGAGAAAAAAAAAGGGATTAAGAAGTGCAAGCACCCTTCATTCGGACAAAGATTCGGCACAAATGCCAAAAGTCTTAAAACATAAAGAAACAGCTTATAGGTTTGAGATTATTGCACATAAATACAGAACACAGAACAACAAAAAGAGATGAATTAGCACATATAAAAGTTAAATTAAATACTCTAAAACTGAAATGCATCAAAACATTAAAATAATGTGATCTTTATTAAAATTATATTAAAACTAAATAAAATATATTATATCACCATTTTTATTATGTCACTTAGAAAGCAACCTAAATATAACATAAATTTCACTTTTTACCTATCGCTGAACATTAGCTACATAAAAGCTTGCATTTGTAGGTCATACTTGTGTTCATCCACTTACAAACAGACGTTCCTCAGTAAAACTCAGGTATCATGTGTGTGACCTCCCATTTCAAAGCAAAACCTCTGAAGAAACTGGCAGTAGATGTGGCCAATTATTGCAACTTCTCTAGGTCTTCATTTCAGATGCTCGGAGTCTTTCTTCCTCCAGTTTGAAATCAGAACTGTTGTTGTGGCAGCTGTGCTACAGTTTCCTTGTTATTTGTCAATGAGACATTATTGAGTTATATGTTGTTATAACTTGTGACTCCAGGGTGCTTCAGAGCTCAGTGATGCATCCATCAGTCTGTTTTTAAATTGATCTGAGCTTCGACATCCAGTGGTCACCCGCTCATCACAGTCGTCCATGTGGTTATATAGTCTGTTCACTTTTAATGTTTTTCATGTATTATGTTGTGTGTTGTAATTGAGTTTCTGTTACTTGCGGGACCTCAGAACTGCTCCAGGACTCCAGGATGAGCCCGGCGCTCTGCTGAGATTTTTGTAATGCTGGCGAAGCACAAAGTCAAAGTTGGCAGTGGTGCACATGGCATAGAACACGTTGGCTTTGTCTGGGATCAGCAACTCTGATATAAAAAACGACAGTGATTTGTTGAGTGCTAAATACATAAGTTAAAAAAAAAAAGCATATGCTATTCATAATAAGCTTAGACACATTAAACTTATGCATTTCATGATTATAAAAAAATTGTGCTTACACCTAAATACCTAAAATGAGTGTTATTATCATAAAAAAAAACCATTTTTGGTAATTTAAATAAAGCTGAATTAATATATAATGTTAATATAAAAATATAAATGCATGAAAATTGTTGCAACTAAGTGAAATAAAGTGAAGTATTAAAATCACTAAAAATTTAAAAAAAATTTAAATAGAAATATTTTTAAAAACTAATAAAAATGTCAAACGCACATAAATAGCAAAATAATACAAATAAAATCTAATATAAATATTAATGAATACTTCGATAGTATATAAATTATACTAAAATTACTTGAAAATTGTTTTGAGTTTCAGTGTTTCAGTGTCAAACGTAAAATTAAGAAGCTCACCTTTGTCATTGGAAAGCACTTGTGTGAGACTAAATTCTTGGCAGTTCATCTCCTCCAAGTTGTGTTTCTCCAGAGCTCTCTGAATCACCTGAGCTGTCTTGTCCTGACTGGTTATCTAAAAATAAAGAGATGATAAAGTTCCAAGACTTTAGATTTGCTGGGGTTGACAACTACGTACTTAGTAAGCAGGGCTGGGTTTTGACACAAATTTCACGATTCGATTCGATTTAACTTACCTTCGGATGTTTAGTCATGTTTATTTTGTGCTGAAACTGGTATTAATGTGGAGGAGATGATCAGTTCACGTGCACTACGCGCTGCCGCGTCTGTTAAACTGAGGCGCTACAGCGATGTGTCACTCCAGATTAAACAGCGCCAAAACGGCATTTATTGTTTGAATACTGCAATACAATGGACAGAATTTGAAATCTGAGGCTTTGTTTCATATTAAAAGTACCACAGCACAATGCTTATTGCGATATATTGGATGGGAAGTGCCCTTCAATGTTCCGTCCATTAACTGAAAACAGACTAGACTAATCGATTCTTGGGATTTAAGAATCGATATCGTTCCATAAAAATCGATTAATATCGAGATATCTATATTTTTTACCCAGCCCTATTAGTAAGTAATTTATTTCATAAAATAAATGAAAAAGATGAGAAGCATGGACACCGCAGAAATCACCAAATATTAAAGCCAACTTACCAAAATACTTTTATAAACGTTTCCATTGTTGCCAAATTCCACACTGACTCTGACAATACAAGAATCAGCGACCTGCTTGTTGTACATGGGATGCTTGAGAGAAGGAGAGGATGATGAAGATGATGATGATGAAGTAGGGGAGGGGCTGTCAGGGTTCAGGGCAGACATATCCGCCTGTAGGCATCTTCGAAAAGAGCTGGGCGGAGTTAGAGAGGAGGTGGCTGTGTCTACTGAGATGTCCTGACAGGATACAGACTGTGAATGAGGGAATGGAGAAAGACTGTTTACCCCAACAAAGAGGTCTGTGATGAGCACAGCACAGGTTTTTCACATAATTTAGGTGGCAACTGACCATATGAGGTGTACCAGATAGCTTGTTCTTTCATAAGTATATTTCTTTTAGGTGTTCAGCAACACAGATTGCAAGCGATAGATACTTTGGTAAATGATGTGTCGAATGTAAAACATCACAGGCTGGCGGTATTATCTAATACACTGTGTTCTGTGTCAACTTCACTGAAGCTCTGTGTTGATAGTGCAAACTTGAACTACTTTATGACTGCAAGGTTAAGGCGAAACAAAAAAGTCACAAACACCTGAATGGATTTTACTAACCTAAAGGCCTCAGTATAAACGAATAGTCAAAATAGGTTTTGAGATAATATTAGACCTATCAGATTTAGGCCTATTGATTCAGTACATTTAAATTACAAATAAATAATGCAATAAAGTACAATTTAATTAAACCCCCTGACCCGCATGCACTGAAAGACACTGAAAATACGGCAAGACGTCACACAACAGCTAAAGACATCCGTCTGACGCATGTGTACATCAGTGTTGTTTATATACTATTATAGTATTTATTAATATTTTTAATTAACTTTTATTTTTATATTTTCAGTTTTCATTTTAATTTTAGTTTCAGTAATTTTATTAATTTAATTTAATTAAGTTCATTAATTTAATTAATTTAAAAATATTTATATTTAGCTTTATTTCAGTTTTAGTACTACTTTAGTACAAAAACATACAAATGAAATATTTTTTTTAATTCTTCATCAAAAATTTATATTTATTTCAGCTTTATTTCAATGACTAAAAACTATTTTAACAGTTTTAGTAAAAATAACACTAGTGTATAGTATAAAAATAGACAGAATGAAGTCTGTGTGAACAGCTCCTACATCTACATCAGACATACTGACAAAATCAAATGGATTTCATATTGGACTCTGGAAATTGGATGTTCAACAATATGGAAATAAAGCCATAAATATACTGACCTTTTAAAGCCCCATTTTGTAATTTTTTTTGCTTTATATAATGTAATTTCTCAGCAAATATAGGTCATTATGTTCTACTGATGGATTCAGCACATCATAATTTATTTGAATAAGTATTTTAAATTTGACGACTGACAGCCTACACTTATATAAAAAAAAAAAAAATATATATATATATATATTGTAGCATCTATAGAGTATATGAGGTAATAAATAACAAAAGTCTGCAGCTCTGGTCTGCAGTTTTGTTACCTGTACTTTGTATCTAAGTGGTGAGAGGTTGGGGCTGCTGAGATCTTCCATCTCTGAGCCACTGGAGCCAGAGGATGATACACTGATCTGATCAGCAAAAGTCTTCTTTGAGAAGTTCTCACTGCCAGACAGCAACCTGCATTGAGTAGAAGAGAAACATGCATCACAGAAAAACATGTTAGCAAAATGTCTTTTTACTTTTAGAATAGTCTGGGTCCACAAAATGAGTCGAAACTGCATCTCAAAACAACACTCACGAGGTCAGTTTCTTGGTGATGAGCCGGTGGCTCCAGGGGTTGGGAGAGCTGGGACAGGGGTCAACTGGTGGCTCCAGTTCTCTTGACAACTCATAGCTAATGAGAAAAAAAAAGACTAACAGTTGGTATCTAAATATCTGAGATGCTGATCTTCTGAAGTACCCGAAGTACTACTGCCTTGAATTCAGAAGTCATTTAATCTCAACCAACATTCTTAGCAGGAAACTGATCATCAAACTGAATATAATCATCATAACGTGCAAGAGGTGCCTCACCTCTTCTGATCAGAAAGAGGTATGCCGCTGTTGATCCAGGAAATGATGCGAGGATGTGATTGGAGTTTGTAGTGAGCGCATGACGCCTGCAGCTGCTTGATCTGAGACAGAATCTCAAACTCCTGAACACAGAAAGGAATGGAAAAACACACATCAGCACTCTTGACACACTAGCATTTGTTATAAAACCTAGCTTTCCACTGAAACAATATGTAGGATGATTGTGCTTACTTTTCTACGCTTCTCAAAGTTGATGAGACCCCCCTGTGAGCACAAAGAAGAGAGTTATCATAAAAAATAAAATAAAAAAAACAACTGTGTATATATATATATACGAATTAATGTCAGAAAAAATTCTCACCTCTACATTATCACTTAGTGCTGTGTCCAACATGGTGAGAACAGTCAGATAAGTGCCCAGGTACGGCACCTCACCGCTGGAGGGGGTCTGCCAGAAAAAACAAACTTAGGCAAAAATACAGTAACAGTCGAGATATTTGAATGTTTTTGTCTCTTATGCTCACCAAGGCTGCATTTACTTGATCAATTTTAGTAATATTGTGAAATGTTATTACAATTTAAAAGCACTGTTTTCTATTTTACATATTTTTAAATTTGTTCCTGTGATGTTGAATTTGAATTTTCAGTATCATTACTCCAATCTTCAGTGTCACATGATTCAGCAGAACTATTAGAATATTCTAATTTATTCTTATTATTATCAATGTTGTTTCTTATGATTACAGAAATCTCAAAAGAATAGCATTTATTTGAAACCAAATGGCAAATTTATTTTGAAACCAACATGTTTGGTAATAATTTACAAGTTTTTACTGTCACTTTCGGTCAATTTAATGCATCCTTGCTCAATAAAAGTATTCATTTCTTTAAAAAAAAATTTACACTGAAGCCAAACTTCAGGAAAGAAGTGTATATTTTAACTTAAACAAATCTGCACACATGCTTCAATTAAAAGTTTCCTCTTTTAAGCACACACATCTTTTCCCAACAGCTAAGAGTATAAATATTTCAGTTAGTGGAACACGCTGTTGACGCATCTTTACTGGTGATACATGCAACTACGTCATACTGTGTCAGCTAGTATTATGGTAATACCCTTTTGGGTGTTTTAATTATTGAGTTGGCAGATTCACATTGAGACAGATTTTCATAATGGAAATGAAGTTACTTGAGTCAAACTAGAGCAGCCAGTAAATGTGCCGGTGCAGATGCATACTTCCCAAAAAGAGTAGTTATTTCCCAGAAACAACAGATTTATAATATTTTTAACAGCAACTTATGCCAATGGCCTTAAATAATACAAATGCACTACTTTCAGCAGGGCCTTGTTTTTATGAAAAATGCTAGTGATTCTTACCATGTGCTTAGATGTAGGACTGAGTCTGGGAGACTTTGGAGCGGTGTGAGTGTCTGCATCAGCTGCCTGGTTTCCTTCCTAAATCAATCACAAAAAATAGATAACAGGACATTTGGCATACTGAAATGCAAACAGTGAAACTGATTTAGATGAGCATATGATTAAAAACAGAGCACTAGATACACTGAAGCAACTGGCCTAGAGAAACATTTACATAAATCACTTTAGAAAACATTCAAAATCAATCTTCCACACCCACAGAAATGCCACAATTCAAGATAAGTACAATTACTTAACAGAGCATGATAAACATTGAGGTCAAAGAGGAGTGGGATAGATTATTAAATGCCAGCACAGATAACAACAATGAATGTTTTGTTGTTATACACTGAACACTGCAGAACATTATGGGATGTTGTGCCTCCATAATGGTTTCTTTGCCAACAAGATGACTCTGCATTTTTTAACCTCATCTTCATTTAGCTCCACTTTTTTTCTTTTTGCATGCGAGCTAGAGTGAAAAACGGTGTGGAAAATATTGAATGTTGCCTGGTAGCATCTTTAAAGATCGTAAAAAGGGCATAAAAGCAGCCATGGGATGAGATCATGTCATTGTCTTAACAGAGATTCAAAAACCAAAGTGTAAGAAAGTTGCGCACATCCCACAAACCCACACAGGGCTCAGGTGCAGGACAAAAAAAAAGTCAAACTATAGCAAAAATACAAACATATTGTCCGCACACTGATGTAACTGCTCCATAAAAATAATTTATTGCAGCAACGTTTCGACCATCAAGTCTTCGTCAGGCACCAAACTTAATAGTTAACAGAGATTCAACACTGCTATCAGCTCTTACACATGATGTTAAATCATTAGAGGGATCTGTTTGCACACTGTAGGCCAAATATTGATGGAAGTTTTTTTTTTTTAAAGAAATGTGTATTTTTAAATCGATCAAACGTGACAGTAAAAATATTTATAATGTTATTAAGTTAAAATGTTTCAGATAAATGCTTTTCTTTTGAACTTTGTTAAATAAAAGAATCGATTTCATAACATTTACCAAATTACCTTTTTAAATATATTCAAATAGACAACATTTTAAATTGTAATAATATTTTACTATGTTACTATTTTACTGTATTTTTGATTAAATATATGCAGCCTTGGCGAGCATAAGAGACTTCTTTCAAAAACATTAAAAAATCTTACTGACCCTAAACTTTTGAATGAAAGTGTATGTGTAAAATTTTAGATTAGAATAGACTACAGGTTTAAAACAGGCAAATCTGTGAAACTTACCTCTACAAGAATATCTCGATTGACCAGCACACAGTTCTCATCAGGAAATGTGTCGCAGAGGTGATCGAAGGCAGCCATACTCTCCCTGAAATTACACAATTTATCCATTTAAATGTAATACCATGTGTTGTGCAAATTTAATATGTGCACTTAACATTGCACTACAGGTTTAGCAACTATTCGTGTAAGGATCAGAAGACACTACCTGCTGATTGCCGCCCAAGTTTTCTTTAGTCTTTAAATGTCTGTATCATTAAAAACTATGAAGTGGTTAGACTTAAACATGTCAACAGCTTAACTATCTTAACTTGCTCAGCAAATTTGTTTGCAAAATGTTGCTATGAAAACTTGAGCAGCGTGTTTCCTCATAATGTCTATTATAGTGCTCCTTGTGGCCACTGCACAAGTGCAACGCGCGCTTCCATCTGACACATTTCAGAATCCAATTTGCATTCACATACTTGCCTAGTAAGTTTCAGGCCTTATACACACCTGAGCCACAGAGATCCACTTCTCAATCATCTTTGCTCTGTGTGTAGGGCCGCTGCGAGTGCAGGATGGGGAACCGGGAGGGGATGTGGAAGGAGGGCACAGCAGAGAGGTGATAACGCAGTTAGTGACGGCATTGAACTGGGCAATGGTGGCACGGACCGTAGGCGCTAGATTTCGAGTCTCTTTCTTGTCCCTCTGAGACCAAATGCAGCCAAGGCAGTGAAATGGAACCACTTTGACAAAGAGCTCCTGATAAAGAAACATAAGCAGATGAATAAAAGTAGGCCTTAAATAAAAACTAGCCTCAGTATGTAAACCTTGACACCTACAGCATCTAATAGTGTGAGCTGCTCAGCAATGTCTCGTGCAGGGAAGACCAGTACATCCCCTGTCTCTTCTATGTCCTGTCTGTCCGTGGCGTCTTCAGTTGCCTGATTCTCTACAGCAGTTGTGCTGGTTTCTGCTGATGTATCTGTGTGCCTGTCTGTTGAGTCATAAGAAGTTATTTAGCGTTGATGTTTTGGTGTGTGCACATACAAGCTAAATTAGCTATATTTTAAGACTTGCCTTCCGTCTGAAATTTTTTTAGAAGTGCATCGGCTTGATGAACCAGACGTCTGAAACAGAGGCGATGACGCAGATGAATACAGAGCAGACGAAGAGCCTGGTGACCTGGAGAATCCCGAAGGTCCTCTTGATACTCGTCTAACCATAGCCGGATCAGACGAGGCAGAGAACTGCGCACACACACGCACACACACACACACACACTTTGTCAGCATTCTTTCAGACTAATTAACGAAGCTCTGAGAATTAGAATGAATAATCAAGATGAGTAACCAGTTTAACTTTACTAATAATAGATAATGATTGCACTGGACAACCAGTTTCAATTTAAGGTTCATTATTGAACAACATTTGACCACAGAATATAACAACTGATAAGTCAGAATCAAATATTCCAAGACATTCCTAAACACGTGGATTCAACTCACCTTCTAACGCAGACACTGTTGTCCAGATTGGTGACCGTGTCCTCTCTACAGAGACAAATACTTAAGTAAGTCTAAAGTTAATATTCAAAACATTCCTAAAACTCTTCCAAAAGAAGCTTTAGGATTATGAACACTGAAACAATTTCTGACACAAATGTGTCACAAGTGCTCTTTCAAGGTCTATTACCTTTATTTATGTTTCAACAAAACACGAAGGACGCTCATGGTTCAACAAAAGCACCTCTGACGTGAGACAAGTCAAGTGAAACCTGTTTTACAAAGTGAGGTGTCCTCCTCCATTCCACTGCGTCACTGATTTGTATGGTGTCACAATTCCACAGTAATCAAAGGTGTCTCTGGGAAATACTCTGCCTCATACTGAATTTAGAAATTTGGGCTTCCCCCTTCATTTGATTATTCACAGTCACTGAGCCTTGTAGAATGTATGCAGTGTAAATTCCCTCATATATAAATACATGAGGGACGGCTGTGTCTGAAACGGAAGTCAGTCAATGACTTTATGAAGGTACCTCCAAAGGAAACTGACAGGCCTGCAATGCACATAACGTCATGTCTAACGTGCTAAGACATTCAAAACTTGGCATTTTTATTCCTTCTACCAACAGTTAAGGCACAGGTTTGCGGTATATCACCAGATGAAGGTATTCGGAGGTACCTTGATGTCATTCTTCCTCCATTCAGGTTTTGGAAACAGCCCATATGAGTTATAACGGTCACTGACGCACAATAAAAACATGACTAGCTACAGTTTATATATAAAGCAACATGGGACCTAAATTTTGGTTCATTCCTCCTAGAATTATATGGTATTTGATGGAACAAATGTGGAATACTTTTATGGTTCTTATTGGAGCATGACAGCCCTAGCTGCTGTTCACTTTTACTGTACAGAAAACAGAAGCGTAAACACTGTGCTAAACATCTATTTTTGAATTTCATATGAAAAAACAAATTATTGTTTGGGTAGACTATACCTATATATCATAAAAAAAATATAGTCAAATGTTTAAGAAAGACAAATGTTTATGAAAATGTGCTTTAGGCTCACCAAGGCTGCATTTATTTGATCAAAAATACAGTTAAAACCGTAATTTTGTGAAATATTACAATTTAAAATAACTGTTTTCTATGTGAATATATTTTAAAATGTAATTTATTCTTTTAATGCAAAGCTAAATTTTCAACATCATTACTCCAGTAATTAGTGTCTTATGATCCTTCAGGAATCATTCTAATATGCTGATTTGGTGCTTAATATTTTTGTGGAAACGTGAAACATTTTTCAGGATTTTCTGATGAACAGAACATTCATAATAACAGCATTTATTAGCTAGAAATCTTTTGTAACATTGTCTTGATAAATGTCTTTACTGACACTTTTGATCAATTTTATGTGTCCTTGCTGAATACAAGCATTAGTTTCTTTAAAAAAAATCATACTGGCACTAAACTTTTGAACAGTAATGTAAATGTTAGCTTAATGTCGCTATAACCATCTGAGACAGCAATTATACTCTTTAAATGAGCATTTATGCTCACCTTTGAAACAGGAGTTCTATGAGAGCATTTGTGCAGGTAAAGGCTCTGTAGGTGGAGAGGAAGATTTGCATGTATTCTGGGTCAGGGCACTCCGGGTTCACCAATTCTGTGACAAGACGCTCCAGAATGGCTGCTTTAAGCCTGCGGACCTTCTGTGTGCGGTACTGCACGAAGCCGAAGGCAGAAGAGTTCTCAGCCGCATCAGGTGGGGTTTGGATGGGTTCTCGGTGAAGAGTGATGCCATAAATGGCCCCGTCTTCCACCTCCTCTCCCCACTCCTGCACCGGGTCCTGCACAAACAGATCATCAGACTATACACCTTGAACCTATCATTAAGCTTGATATGATGCCTACTGCAACGCTATGAAACAAACACAGTGTCATCAAAAATATTCTATTTTGCAGTCCTGATACTGCAGCATTTATTTTAGAAAACACAAAAAAGGTGCTAGACACGGACCTAAAATTTCACCCGTCCAGGAAGAAATATACAAAACAGGAGCTCTTTGGAAAATACAGGCAAATTGTTATCCAAATTACAAGTCAGGAGGAGTGAATACATTTTATCTTCACTAGCCTGAGAAGACAATACATTGTACATTACATTTTCTTTCTTAGCAGATGCTTTTGCTTTTTCAACAAAATCATGTACAATACAGAGTTCAGATCATGTTATAAGCAAATACACCAAACATTTTTACAGTATTAAAAATAATAACACCACTGTTTAATGATGCCCACACAAGAAGGGCATTTTCATTTTAAGGAAAGAAGAGAAATCATTTAACGCGTTTCATGGTGGCAAACCATAACTAGTTGACACCAAAAATACTTTCTTTACAAAAATCCTCTTTGGTGGTAAATGAAGCCATGATTATTTGCATAGCAAATACCATATCCCACAATGAATAACAGCTGTGGGCGAATAAAAAAACCCATTATGATTTTAAACAAAGACAGACTGTGCAACACACTGGAGTAAATTAAGTCCAGTGTTTTCTCTTCCAGGCAAAATACGGTTGTTGTTGTTGTAGTTGTTGACTAGTTCAGATGTGACCAATATTAGATGAGCTCATAACAACTGGCTTGAGGACAAATTAGCATAATGGTGTCATCCGTCACTGATTCTTGAGACACAGGATGTCCAACGATTTATATGCCATTAGTTAAAAAAAAATCCACACTGAAATCAATCCTAGAATTCAACTAGAATGTTTTAACACCGCATTTATTAGATTTTTTTAATAATAAAAAAATTGTATTAGCTATAAGATCACCTATCCTCAGAACATAACTTCAAAACTTGAAGTTATGTTCTGAGTTTATATATATATATATATATATATATATATATTATATATAATACACAACCATTCAGAAGCTTGGGGTCAGTTTTTTAAACAAGAAATTAATAATTTTATTGAGCAAGGAGGCATTACAATGATCAAAAGGTGACAGTGATTTCTTTCTAATAATTGTCCTTTTGAACTTTCTATTCATCAAAGAACCGTGAAAAAAGTATCACAGTTTCAAAAAAATATAAAGCGGCACATTTTCAACATTGATAATAATAAGAAAAGTTTCTTTTAGCACTTAAACAGCATATTAGAATGATTTCTGAAAGATTACTAAAAAACTGAAGCAATGGCTGATGAAAATTCAGCATTACCACCACAGAAACAAATGACAATTCATAATATACAGTATTTGAATATACAGCTGTTTTAAATTGTAATATTTCAAAATATTACTGTTTTACTGTATTCTTGATCCTTAAGTACAAAAGACATCTTTGAACATAAAAACTTACTGACCCCAAACTTTTGAACGATAGTGTATATTAACTTATATTAACTAAGAAAAATACATTGTTCAGTTTTCAATTAAAAAAAAAAAAAAAACACTTCTAATTTGTCCTGACAAAGGGAAGAGGTGAATATTAAAAATTAGACCTTAAATGTGACATGTAGGATATTGTTATCAATTTTTTTAATATAACTTGATATTTTGTGATAGGATTTACAACTATGTCAACCATCAAGTCTCCATCACGTATTTTATTTATTTATTCAGATAATTTCCCTTATTTAAAGCGGGACCTATTAGTATAGCAGCAACACCAGAAAATATGCTGCTGTATTGAATACACGTGTGGCATGTAAAATATGTAAGCTATCAAGTCAATCACTGCTGTGCCCTGTTTTGTTCTAAGCCTCAAGAATCACTGCTCTGTGCCAAAAGCTCAATGAATATCACAGAACATGCATAATATGCAAACCACACATTTGGAAAAGGTTGTGCTTCTAAGTAAACCAAGGGCAGTCTATTCCTCTAACAAATCAACTGCTGTGAAAATCACAAGTGCATTCTTCCCAGAAACTCCAGTCAAGCAAAACAGAGAGCTTTCCAAGCCAAAGCCCTGTGTCTCCTCTAAAACTGTGCCATGGAACAAAACACGGGGAATGATTGGGGGAGGGAAAGCTGAAACTATCACAGGTCAACTGTGAAACAGGACACTGTAAATATCTTCAATCTCCAGGTGGGTCTGAGAACAAACACAAAATCAGTTCTATTGTGAGAGTCCAGAGGGAAAAGTGAAGTGCACCACACCCTCCCCTCAGCACGCATTACATGTAACACCTCTGGTCAACAGCCGATTAAACGCTTTCCTAAAGCCAATATCACGACTAATTGTAAACTTATTGAGTTTTTGTGACAGTACTGGGATGTCCGGAAAAGAAAGAACAGGAAATACTGCATTTTCTCTGGCATTAAAATGAAGAGAAACAATAACACTGTGCGCCGCGCGACACACTGTAAAAGTTACAACAAATCGCGTTTGCGAAGTCACTTTTTCTTTAGTCATTCTAACCTGTAAAATAATATTAAACAGAATTAATGTCTTTTATTGAAATAGCTTAATTAAACAAGCGACTTACCATAGTGAACTCATGCCAGGTCGAATAGCTTAAAAAAAATGTACATGCCAGCAATATTAAAATAATTTTCATTATTGATATGCTTGGTAACATTCTTGTCAGGTAATACCTATGGTAGTAGATACATTTTAAACATTTAAACAATTTTTAACCATGTGGGTGTGATGTGATACCTAAACCACCTTTTCCCCTTAACCATAATTTTATTTTTGGCTTAGTTTTATTTATGAAAACATACACTAATGCTCAGATTTTTTTTTTTTTTGGGTCAGTAAGATTTTAATTAATGATACATTTTTTAAAGACATTTATTTGATCAAAATAGAGTAAAACAGTAATATTGAGAAATATTATTACAATTTAAAATAACTGTTTTCTATGTGAATTTATTATACATTAAATTTTAAATTTTAATTTTCAGCAGCCATTACTCTAGTCTTCAGTGTCACATGATCTTTCAGAGATCTTTCTTATATGTTGATTTGCTCAAGAAACATTTCTTATTATTATCAATGTTGAAAACAGCTGTGCTGCTTACTATTTTTGTGGAAACAGTGATACATTTTATCAAGATTATCATAATCTTTTGTAACATTATAAATGCTTCACAGTCACTTTTGATCAATTTAATGTGTTCTTGCTTAATAAAGGTATTCATTTATTTGAAAAACAAAATCATAAAGTTTAAAAAGGTTTGAAAGGTAGTGTGAATTCAACAAAAGTGGATGCATGAATTAACTCTTTGTTGCAATCAACAAATATACATCAGAGGTTTAGAAGGGATAGATGTACTCTTTGCTGCTTTACTGTTGTTCTGTCCAAGCTCAATTCTAGCTAGCTCTGGATCCTTATACTTTATACAGCTTATTTGTCAGCTGCTTTGCATTACAGAGCATACTAAATGAATAAATGCAAATATAATTGTCAATAGATCATCATCAGCACTGACCTCACTGCATTCCTCAAGGTCCAGCAGATGGAAGCTCCTGAGCCAAATGCCAGGCTCCTCGTCCATCTGCACATCCACATGATGCCCAATCTGGCACAGCAGATGCCTCATTCGTCCAAATCGCGCCCGCAGACCCTTCTCTCCACCAGACACCACCAGAGAGGACCTCATCCTCCACCCGAATCATACACCAACTTCCTCCAAGAGCAGCAGATACATGTCAGGAATTTGGCTTCAACAAGCATTCAGTAACAGAAGTGTAGAGCTTCTACTTTGATTAGCAAATTACCTAACTAATATCTAACTTAATAAATAGTTAAATAACTATAACAAATAAATCAATACATATACACACATATTTCTTATTCATTTTATGATGTAACATTGTTTGAAATTTTTACTAAATTTAATTTATTTATTTTTGAAAATTAGTAAAATTAAGTAATTCAATAAAACTACCTGTAATAAATCTAGGAAGTCGAACTTCCTAGGAGAGACTGTACTTTAAAAGTTTTTATTCATAAAGTTTAATTTTATTCCTCCAAGATCAGCAGATACATGTCAGGCATACTATACAACTTTAACGTGCATTCAGCAGTGTTATTTAGTATCATTGAGATACTATTGTAAATTTTATTAATATTCTGTTTTTATTTTAGTTTTTATTTTTAGATTTTCCATTTAATTTTTTAAAGTTTTTTGTAACTTTGTTGTGCATTTGTCTCATTTTTAGTACTTTTTGTTTATTTTTATATATATGTCTATTTGGTTTTTATTTATTTTATTTTAGTTTTAGTTATTTGAGTACATCAATTTAAATGCAATATAATGAGAAATGTTACTCTGGCAAGTTCAACTAGATAAAATATAAAGTTTTTTTTAATATTTTATTTTGTTTCATTTAACGTTTTATTTCAAGTAATTTATTTAACTATAAACTAAAGTACAATAGGGAGTAAGACTGAGGAAATAACACTGTAAAGGTCTTATGTCTCTAATCTCTTATGTCAGGTCTTAAGGTTTCTAAGTTTTTAGGAATAAGAAGTTTTATTTTATTTTATAATTTATTGTAGGCTAATGGAATTATGTAGATAAATGCACCATATAACTGCAAAGTCATTTTCCTATTATATTTTATTTATATAAATAATATAATCATATAATATTGGATATTGTTAACAATCATATATGTCACTTTTTCCATTTAAAATAACAGAATTAATTGTTTGGAATTTGAGAGACTTTATAAAGCAGCATTAAAGGGTTAGTTCACCCAAAAATGAAAATTAGCCCATAAATTACTCACCCTCAAGTCATCCTAGGTGTATATGACTTTCTTCTTTCAGACGAATCCAGTCGGAGTTATATTAAAAATTGTCTTTGACCTTTCAAGCTGTTTAATGGCACTCAACGGGTGTTGCAGTGCATCAGTTCAAAAGAAGTTAAATAAAAACTTAAAGCGACCATCCTTAATAAAAAGTGTCTCACACAGCTCCGGGGGGCTGAACAAAGTCCTCCTGTAGCAAATCGATGCGTTTTGTAAGAAAAATAACCATATTTAAAACGTAATAATCACTTTAATCTAGCTTGCGCTCACTGTTGTAAACAGAAGCAGTTCTGGGGGAATGACGTATGAGGTTGCCGTTGCGCATTCAGAAGTGAGGCACGCGGAAACACAGGGGAAGATCAAAACAAAACAACGGTCACGAATTAGAAGTACAAAACGAGGATTTGTAAAGAAGAATGTCGGAGGATTTCGATATAAGCCAAGAGGAGACTGGTTTTCCTTTGCTAAAGTAAGGAAACTTTGCTTCCTTTGCTCCTGTTAACAAACGTTGGTTTTCACGAGACTCACCAGCGCATGCGCAACGCTGACCTCATACGTCATCTGCCCGGAACTGTTGGCGCAAGCTACATTAAAGTGATTATTACATTTTGAATATGGATATTTTTCTTACAAAAACGCATCGATTCACTACAG